ACAGAATGAGAAGAAGAAGAGCGAAAGAATCAGTTGCAGAAATTACATCTAGAGGTGAACAAGGTAGAGAGTATTAAGCTCAAAGAAGGGTTGCTGCTGCTGAATGGAGATCTAGAAAATATATCAAAACAGCTTATGATTATGATCTAAATCATGATTATTAATCAGTGTCTGCATACGATGTTGGAAGAAGATCCATATAATGTGATTTTTTGCAGGGCAGAAAGGTATCCCAATGTATAGCCAGGACTATGTTGTGATAATGACAAAGTTGAATTGCAGCCTTTGAGATAACCATCACCACCTCATAATGTACTCCTTCAGGGAAATACTGAAGATTCTAAAAACATCCTGACAATATCTATATACGTAAAGCACAAACATTTGTGTCTGTCTGTTTGCCTTCCATTGTATAACTAGTCCTAGGTCGCTGGGCTAATCTCAACCAAGTTTTATGGGATGATATTTAGAACAAGAGGTATGTTAATAGGGTTCACAAACACTTCTACCCGACATTATTTGCTGTTACTGAGCATTTATTATCTTTGACGTAAGTTAACATTAACTACATTCATAGATGGCGCCACGATCTTACACCAAAAAACTTTATTAAATTTTCAATAACACAGCATAAACACGGTGTTAGGGGGGCACATAAACGTCTTATGTACTTCAGAGAATGCGCTAGCACTCTCTATGGAGGAATGCAATAAAACAAATGGCCGCCACTATTGCAATAATACATAAACTCAGCTAAAGTTTCTACTTCAATAGCCACAACAAGTCAGTGCGTTAGCTATCGCGTTTACTTTGTACAAGTACGTTTATTTGTTTTACGTTTGTTTGCATCAGTTGTAACAAGGCTTACAGCAATTTACGACAGTGTACAAGTATTCAAGTTTGTAGAAACGTTAAAGGAGGAAATAAAGTTTATTATCGTTGCGTGGACTGTAAGTTGAATTATTTTCACCAGATAATTTGAAAGAATCCGTCAACGAGAAAACTACGCTGCTACAACACAAAGTTTACGAGTATTAAGTTTTTAATTCTTATTAAAAATGAAAAACATGGTTATCAGGCAAAGAATATTATATCTAGTAAAGGTATATATCGTTTTAGGGTTGAAAGTGTAAAAATACATCTCAAGCCTCAGTTTTATAGGGCCCGTTGTGAGTTTTACTATTGTCAACCATCCTTGTGTAACATTCAAACAAGGTTATATTTTAAACATTGCACTTCCTTGGAAAGATTGATACATTATTTAGTATTTTAAAATCAGTCAAAAATTACATACAGCGGCTGTAAATATGTAGAGACATCTTTAGATTTTAACTTCCACACAAGCGAAAATATACAAAATTTTGTTTAAAAAGGACACAAAGTCTCTTCAGATTAGTGGTATATGTACTAAATATCCGTAATGTGTAAGAGGTACGAAAACTTTTTTCGTATCAAAAGCCCCAGGTTCTGTTGGTGACAGGCTGACAGCATTATGTGAAAAATAATAACAACTAATAAAAACTAAAATGAATAAGTAATTTTCAAAATATTGTACAAACACTTGAATCTTTTGATTTTTAATTGGAAATAAAAAAAGTAAACGTATTGTTACGTCTCCGTTTGTTAATTAACTTTCCGTGACTTCGTTCCGACGAAACTTTAGC